ATAAATTTAATGTTCTCATAAATAATCATCGAGTAAAACGAATTCGTTTTTTAGTTTCCTGCCCATATAGCCTCAATGTTGAAAGATTGTCGATAAAACGCATTTCACCTTGCAATAAAACTTTTTTTCTGGTCCTTTAGTAATATATAGTGGCTTCGTTGCAACAAGATTTTATTGTATTGTAGTGAATTTCTCGCCCATGACGAAGAAGTTCGAATGACCACAGAACAACTTTTTAGATTTCAAAAATCCTACTCATCTCTTGTGTTTGCCCGAATTTATTTCCGCATAATTGTACTTGCATTTTTGTAAGAAAAACAGATTGAGAATGTATTCATGTCTTGCACAAGAACAAAGTATTTTAGCGAGGGCTTATCTGAAAATTTTTGTTGAATACATTTCTAAAAACAAAATTTGTGCGCCCGCCTTCGCAGGCACAGACCAGGCAAAAAATATAAAAGCGAGAATGAATACGGGTCTCCCATCATAAAAGGAATCTCTATTCCAATTTAATTTGTTTATAGAATACAGTTATTGTCATAGCTTTGGTGATGAGACATAATGCTTTCTTTTCGCAGGAAGCAACGGCGAGGATGAAGACGCCATTTGCAACCACCGAAGGGCTCACATCTACTTTGAAGAGTCCATCCGCCACCCAGAGTGCCCGTACACCGGGTTCGCTTGTCCCGGTGGTTACGACGACTTCACTGCTGGCAAATGCTTCTCTTGCGGCGATGGAACCAAGTGCGGACACATGGGTGATGCTGCCATCGACTCCTCTGCACGAGGCTCCCTGTTCCTCAGCACCAGCCCAACCCCTCAATACTGCGGTAAGAAATGACTCGTCCTGATGAGGAAATGAAAAGTTAGCCTCCTGTTTATATTTTCATTTTATTTGCGTTTTTCTCTCCAATGATCTCCCCCGGGAATATCGTAGTTATATCTAGCCAAATGCGGATAAAACGTTGTTGCATTTTAAATTAAACAAAAAACGCATGACGAGGTTTTAAAAAAAAACTGATCGTTTTTCTCCTGGATCTCCGAGCATAAAATTTTCATGAAAAGCTATTTCCAATTACGACACTAATCACTCACTTTTAGAGATTGGCAATTGAAAAAATGAAAATAAAACAATTCGGAATTCATTCATTTATTTCCACTTATGGGAAATTTGTTGATATGTGTTCAAAATTTCTCATTGGGATGATGAAGTATGTGGCACATTTGAACTTCTGAATTTTATGAAAACTGCAATGTCACTCATGACGCGCATTCTTCTTTTTTTCACTAAGAATAATGAAAAAATGAAGATTCACTATATATGAATTGAATACTATCTTTTTTTGAAATCATTCGGGCCTCCTTTCGATGTCATATATGTATTGTATTGAATGGATTGAACAGGTACACAGAATTACATCGAGTACAGGTCCGCTGGAGGTCTTGACAACCTCGTGACATTCGGATCTATCCAAGTCGAAGCTATGGGTCAACGCATCACAGTTGTCGAGTAAGTTTCTGATTGTTTTTGTTGTTGTTGAAGGAATACACTCTTTGAATGAATTTAATCTTGAAACATGTTTTTTCCCGTGCTGCAGACAAGGTTCCATGATGATCGCTGCTCAGACCAATACCGTTTTTGAAACAACACCATTCAATAGCGAAGTCAACACCGACAAACTCCACGTGAAAATCACATACAACCGATCCAGTGACGGTATTATCAACGGTGGTGGCACCTGGCGTATGGATCATCTCAAAGTCTTCACTGATTCTGGAAAGTAAGTACAGTACCCTGAAATCACTTCATTCTTCCTTTCAAATCAGTATAAATAAGCAATGTACTATAATTCGAAGTAAAATTTTCGGAACAGCAGTTTTCGTGCTGAAAACCACGAAGTGTCATATTCACGAACCAAAAATAGTGACTGATGTTCTCAGAAGACACTCAGCATGATCTGAAGAATTCAACAGTTCTACTATCTTGAAAAGTCAAATTCACGAGCGTTTTACAGCCCAACTGAGTGATGGAAGGTTTTACAACGATAACCATGCAGCATTGTTTCTTTTTTATTGTGGTATAACGTTGATT